CTGCTCTTCTTTTATATTGTCACTATAAACGATTCACTCTAGTTAGCTGGGACACTCCCAGATATGTTCGAATAGGGAGGTCAGTGCTTTGCATAGGACCTCGCCACCGTCCTTGAATAATGCAGGTGAGAGAGAACCCGGGCTAGACGCTCGAAAACGACTGAGGGCTGTGATCGCGTTTCGGACCTCAGCCTCAGACGGAGCGTCTAAACTACCCGTCCATGACTTATCATGCGTCAAATGAATAGAAAGAGGTGCGGTAGCAGGGGCCACTGGAACTGATGTCAAATTGCTCTGCCCAACGATGCATACAACGTTCCTCATTGCATATCAGTGCAACCGCGTTGTCTCTGATTGCCTCACTGACGTCTGGTTTGCTGGGACCAGCAATGCGGATCAACTGGAAGAGCTTGCGGTAATTGCCTACTAATTCAATCAATCTCCGGACGCACTGGCTTTCGCAGCGGATAATAAAGTGTGCCCTATCTGCCGCATTGAGCAGCTTTGGCAGTGGTTTAGACGCTAGTGCTCAGGACTTCTCGTCTTTTATTTCACCTCTTGCGCTTTTTATCCTTAAAGTGTGGGACCAATTTCGATTTTATCCCTCCTGCTTTCAGGCACTTAATTATTGGCCCTCCTCTGTCATGCTTTAATTGTTGCTTGTCTTTTAGTTTCAACTTGTACCCACTTGCATGGTGTCGTTTCAGTCCAGTCGACAAGTCCCTGTTCAACCAAGCGGACAACATCAGTTGATCCGTTTTTTTGTTGAGTTCTGGCGCCTCGCCAAAACTGGTATGCTTCAACGTACGCCCTTTGCTACAGATTGTTCAAGAGACAGCACTCACCGAACTCAAGAGACTCTATCAAACAATATTTGTTGCTTATAAGAACCAAGCCTGCAAGATAACAGCCCCGTGCATACCCGGTGATCTCCCACATGTGATACTAGCGGTACATTTTCATTGCGTATGTCGGGAGATGACGCAGCTTTAAATGCCGGCCAAGCTGGCGTAGGCCTTGTTTTAAGTAGTCCATCTAAAACTGTCCTGCTCGATTTGATACTGGTCAATAGCCAGGTGTATGTCGTCAGGTTATCTGACTCGTTCCATGCTTCAAAGTTGAACGGGGACAAACTGTGCTTGTTTGTTATTGTGGCCTACACTCTCAGAAACGGTAGCATGATTCAGTGAAAGATGATTACCACCACCAACTTAACGATCTCTATTAACTCAAAAAGCGAAAGGGATACCGTGGTGTTTGTTGGTGTTCTGAACGCCTAATTCGGAAAACTGTTTTCTGGTTGGGTTTAGCCATGCGGCCAATAGAGTGAAGTCACCCGTAATGATAAAGGTAAGTGGTTGCTACACCCGCGTGAAGATGCTCATCGCTTTTTCGCGAGCACTGACTTTTGACATAGCACCCGCAGAAGTGTGATTCGAAAAACCTATGAACACAAATCGATCACATCGCGATTAGTTAAAGCTGAAGATGCTGCTTTCAAAACTGTCGCTCGACTTGGAGCATGAGCGTGGACTCCGAGCACGCTCTTGTTTGTGCCGCCCCTGGGGTGCGTTTCGGTGGACCATTACAAAGCCGCAGCGAGCGCATCTACACCAGCCTGCTGGTGAAGTCAGGGGTTCTGAATGCTAGTGTCCGAGCTTAGTAAGCGTCTAGTGCACACTGTTGCAGAGCACTGGTCGCATATTCGCCAGACTTTACTATCAGCAGGCATGTCATCATGTGGCAAATTAAATCGCCAAGCCGAAGATTGGGTCTCTACACAGTCTCTGTAACTTCTGGATGCTCGCCAACGTGTTCCGGCGGGAAGCGAATAAAATGAGGCGGGTAAAGTTCTCAGCGTAAAACTCCGTGCCATCCTGAAGCGAGACAGCAAAGCTTGGTGGTTTCATCTTGCTTCGAAAATGGAAACAGCCGCTGCCGTTTGTAACCAGCGTAAGTTCTTCCGTATTATACAGCAAACATGCAGCAGGAGACCTGATGTTAGCGAGGCTACACGCGACGAGAGTGGACAGCCGAACACTATACAAAAGGATTGAACCGGTTTGAGAAAGCGCTTTCGTTTTCGGGCATTGGGTGCCGTGCTCCATGGGTCGTCTCTTTGGATGCGCCCTCACGTGCAGAAGTTGAGGGTAAGATCAGACTGTTTAAATTAGTTAAGACCGCTGGATCAGATGACATTCAGTTAGCTCACTCCAATTTCGGGGCTCTGCTTCTGGTGACGTTTCACACGAGTTACTAGTGAAACTGTGGGAGCAAGATACTGTCCCAACAGACTAGAGCCGCTTCGTAGTTGTACCAGTGTTTAACGGAGGCACAGCCTTGGAATGTGGCAATTATAAAAGCAGCAGTCTACTCTCTATGGTCTCTTAATTGCTTGTGTCGGTCGTTCTCCACCGACTAACTGACATTCGTGAAAGGCAGATTGTTAGGGACAAGCCGTGTTTCGTGGAGGTAAAGTCCTTCATTTCCCTGTGTATGCATAAACAAAGTAACTTGTCAGCCACATGGTGACGGTGTCAGCACACTCTTCTACGACATTTAGCTGAAAATGTATCATGCCTACTAGTAGTTCATGACTTCAGAAGCCTGAGTTCACCGTGAAGGTCAGCGGGTTGAAATGTAAATTTGATCAGAGGCAGTGAAGGAAGGAAAAAGAAATGAAGGTAACCATGGTGTTTACTTTTGGGAAGCAAATGACCTAGAATTGTGTTTCGTTACTTCGACAGATCTAAGTCGCATAATGGAGCTCCGCTGGCTTAGATATCCTCATAGGTTTCTGCAGTTGTGGTTCCGTAAAACTGCTTTAATGTTTGAATTGTTTAGTCGTTAGATTTCTTTTTATCGCTATTATTTATCTTGCCTCTACAAATAATTGAAACATTTACCAAGATCAGAAAGTAGTGGTTATACGCATCAAGGCTGCCAGTATCCTCTCTCACTTGTGATAAGATCCTTTGATTTGTCAATGCTTAGGTTCATCCCAACTGGACCTACTGCACTCTAGTAATTTTTCTGGTCTTCTGTATAAGCCTTTTAAGTTAATTGTCGGATCAATAGGCATTTATCTCAAGGTAGCGGCGTTCTAATGCATACCTTTATCTTCACACGTTACTGCTTGTAAGAAACTGGCGTCAATGATGCTGGACGACACAAGTCATCCCATTCGCAACACTTTGTTTGAATGGCTACCAACATTGTCTACTAGGCCGTAATACCAACTGGTATATGGACGCACACAAGCAAACTGCTGGTAGATAATAGATTAGCTTGTTGTTCTAGAGACAAACAGCCAATCTCCCAATATGAGGACGCCGCCGTTTGTTTTTAAAACTTACTTTTAAAGTATGAGTTTTGGTCACATTTCTGCGATCGTGCATGTTATACATAAAACTACACTCGCCCGGGGTGTATAAGACGGTTTTATTAACCTAACTTTATTTAGTTTAGTATAAAGTCAGAAGAGTTGGCTTCGTTCATTTTACAGCAGGCGACTGCAAAGCACTTTGATCTTACAAAAAGCCATCTGACTGTGACTCATTCAACAATGTCCATTTTAATCAAAGAAAAATTCCTGCACCGTTTTTTCTACTCGTTCGCGCTATCCGGTTAATTAACTGGCGTAGTAAAGTGGCCACGTTAGCACAGGTGCAGGGTCAGCCATTTAATCTGGACAAGCTTCGGTTGTTCGTGGAAAATAAAACAAACAACGAAATACATGGGGTGATTGGCCCAAATATGATAATAATACATAGTTGGTACCATTAGCACCAACACAATTTAGTTTCATTTAAATAAAATCCTACAGGCATTTTGCGTAATACTACAGGCAACTAGTCATTTTGTGTCACTGACGTCTCAATGAGATACATTCTGGCCAAATACAGGTCAACCAAGAAATTCCGAGTGTAGCGTTACCTCTTCGGTAGTTCGGTAGAATGTTTTGTGAATCTATTTTTGTTGTGTGCTGAGGTTATTCGTAACTAGAAAACTTCGTTCACGGCATATGGTAAGAGTACGCTAAAATGTCTTCTGTCAGACAAAGTTTCGTCCAAAAGGTGCATCATGGAGAAGACTATGGACACAAAGACAGTGCTACAAGCGCCGTAGCTAGTAAGCCACCTTACGCCCATCGATCGCTCAGGTTGGACAGAAGTGTGTTCTTTTCAGCTAATTCATCCTAGTCACTCCCAAACATCAGGCTTGAGCTAGTTTAGAAAGCGCCAGATACCGGCGTTTCGACCTTCTGGGTACCGTTAGTGGTGCGCCTTCCAGGGGACCAGTGCCGCGTTCCGCCACCATGACTTCTGGATGCCAGCAGCATATGTCACTTCGCCATGGGTGATAGTTGCGGATCTGCGTGATTGACAAATGACAATACCGTAGTCCGGCTCATCAAGAAGTGTGTTCTACCGACTACCAGTTGGTCGAGATGGAGAAGCAACTGGCGTAGTGTGTGTTGTCGTGGTACTCAGCGGAGTTTTATGTTAAACCGTTTCACTTCCTCTAATTTATTGGCTAAATTGTTAACTCGAGGAAACGCGTTGCGGATGTATTCTAAATCTTTCTGTAGGTGGTACGTCTAGTCTAGGTTAACAGCCAGAATCTTAACTGGAATATACATGTACCCCGCTAATTATCTCACAAAGATATACCAGCAAACTGTAGTTAAATATATACTGAAAAATGATAGCACAATATGTCTCAAAACTGCAACGGTGGAGTAGGATGGCAGAGGGCAGAAGTGATTCTGCTAAAGTGATTTATTAACAAAGTGATTCATTAAAGCATATGAAAGTAGGTCATGTTTGTGGACTCACACAGCAGGAAAAGTGGCCATTTACCGAACTGGGGAATAAAGAAGTGCCTCCAAATTAATGAGCAAATGCTAATCCTACTATCCACACAAAATCAAAAGTCCGATTAGTCGAAATGTTTATTTAACTGTGCTATGCATACTGTACTGGTTATATTGTGCTCACCTTTTTGGCTTAACAAACGGAGTATCCTACACGGAAAAAGGCAACGTAATTTGAGCAGGGCAGTAATGTTGTGGCTTTGGCCTCATATGTAAGGAAAAACAAAGCACACTTCATTGATAATCGCAGAGTATGGCGTATTCAGTTTTGCTGTTTTATTTTGAAAGAATTTCAGATGTTTTAATGACACGCAAATATACTGTAACACGCAAGCACGGAAGAACTCCAAGGGCTGAGAATGAAGTTCTATTACACAACACGTAGCCTCTACAAAAGGTAATAAACATGAGGTAAATTGAAACAAGGGAAGTTACAGTTAACCAATGTCGTGTTCTTGTTCTCCTCCGGTAATGGAGCAGGAAAGGCGCTCTGAAAGGCAAACGGGAGAGAGTGCCGTTATAGCAACGATTCAACTTTGAACGCGCGCCAAAACAATATCGATTCTTCTCTGCACCACACCCCCTCTAAGCATGCAGCGTCCCCGTTGCCACCCCATAGCCGGCCTGAGCCGGCACCTCCAGTTCAACAGCTACTTCCCCAGGCGTTTCGTTCGGCCCCTCGACAGATTGGTCAGTTTTACTCCGGAATGGCTCGAGTCGATTGAAATGTACTGTCATGGGTTGACTGGCAGGGTTGTTGGGATCTTTGATAACACATGTCACATCCGATATCACCCGCTGTATTATGTACGGTCCTGTCAACTCATGGTGTAGTTTAACCGGAACTCCTGCCGTTGGTACCTGGTGCAAGTAAACTTGGTCGCCAGCCTTTAAAGGAACGCCGAAAACTTTCTTGTCGTAATAGTCTTTCTGTCGTCGATGGGCGTTCCCAAGGTAAATACGTGCCGCTTGATGTGTTTGATGAAGCGAATCAAGGAGTTTGTTAACATACTCTGTTACCGATGAATGTGGCTGTTGCGGACTGGGTAATCGGATGTCAGACGGTAATCGGATTTCTCTTCCAGTCCACATAAAAGATGGTGTTTGACCAGACGAAGCGTGCACTGTGCTTCGATATGCCAGCAAGCATTTTGGTAACATAGCGTCCCACTCACATACATTTTGCTCCACAAAGGCCTTCAGTAGCGATTTCAGCGACCGGTTTGTACGCTCAACTTGTCCGTTGCCTTGCGGGCGGTAAGCAGTCGTTCGCGTCTTGTCTATACCGAACACACGACAAAGTTCCTGAACCAGCAAACTCTCGAAACATGAGCCCCTATCAGAATGTAGCGGCCCCGGTGCTCCCCAGTGACACACCCAGTGATTTACCATCGCCGTTGCTACGGTGAGTGTATCGGCTTGGGCTAACGGAACTGCTTCGCACCACTTGGTGAAACAGTGGACCATGACCAAGATGTACCGATGGCCACGTGATGTTTCTGGAAGGGGACCAACAATATCTACTCCCACAATCTCGTTCGGGTAGCCTGCATTCATAGGCTGCAATGGTGCTCTCCTGGTGATGGTCGGGTTCTTGAATGTGGCGCACGTCTCACACGTCTGGCAAAAGTTAGTGACGTCTCTCCGTTGGTGTGGCCACCAAAAACGTTGACGTGCTGCCGCTTCCAGTTTGTCGATTCCAGCATGACCCAGCTGTTCGTGCAGTTTAGATAGCACTTCGGAAACTAATGATCGCGGAACTACGATTCTCCTGATATAGTTTGGGCCAAAATCAAACACTAGCACACCTTCCTCGATAGAGAGCTTGTCCCACATCGCCCATAAGCATCGAGCTTCGTAACTTTTTCCCTCCATTTCCTTCGCGGTAGGTTTGTCGCTCCCCAACAGCCGTTTGTCATAGATCGGTGATACGTCTGGATCTGCTGCCTGTGCCTCCTGCCAGCGACCGTACTCCGAACTTTGAAGGTTAAGTAGAGCTACGTGCTGTGTACTACAAGACGGGCAGTCTCCATGAGCACGAGTAGGAAGTCTGGAAAGAGCGTCCGCGTTGGCATGCATTGCACCAGGTCGGTGTCTGCACTCAAAATCATACTCCTGAATTTGTTCCTGCCATCTGGCGATCTGTCCCTCGGGGTCTCTGAAATTCTGTAACCAACGAAGTGACTGATGATCTGTTCGTACCAGAAACTTCCTTCCTAATAGGTAGTGTCGGTTTTGTTTTATAAAGATTACTAGAGCTAGCATTTCCTTTCTGGTTGTGCAGTAATTCCGTTCTCTTGCACTGAGACTTCTACTGCTGTACGACACCACTCGTTCTATTCCGTCCTGCCCTTTCTGTGACAAAACAGCTCCAATCGCCTGGTCGCTCGAGTCCGTGTCTAGAATAAACTCCCCGGCATTTGGTGACAGATCGGGGAAAACCAACACCGGAGCTGCACAAAGGGATTCTCGTAACCGATCGAATGAATTTCGACACTCAACGGTCCATTCGAAGGTCATACCTTTCTGTAACAAGGTATTCAAAGGCGCAGCGATCTCTGAGAACCCTTTCACGAATCGCAGATAGTATGAGGCTAACCCTAAAAAACTGCGTAGTTCATCAACGTTGGCAGGGGTTGGCCATAATCTCACTTGCTCCGTCTTACGAGGGTCAGTACGAATCCCCATCCCCGAAATGACGTGCCCAAGATACGTTACCGCGGTCTGTAGTAAATGGCACTTTGTGGGCTGGAGTTTGAGGCCCACATTTACTAGGCGTGTTAGCACCTCCGCCAAGTTGTTTAGGTGCTCCTCTTTTGTTTTTCCGTGTACAATGACATCGCCCAGGTAAACGAGACACTTGTGTGGCATCAATTCGTGTAACACTTTTTGCATCAGTCGTTGAAAAGTCGCAGGGGCGTTAGAGAGGCCAAAAGGCATGGTCTGGAACTCATAAAAACCGGATGGTACTACAAACGCCGTTTTCGCTCTGTCGCTCTCCTCCACTTCTACTTGCCAGTAGCCAGAAGCCAAATCTAGCGTACTGAAATAAACTGATCCTCCCAGTGCGTCAAATAGACCATCGATCCTGGGGAGGGGAAAAGCGTCTTTTCGAGTAATCTCATTTAATCGTCTATAGTCGACACATAGGCGAAAACCACCATCCTTCTTTTTCACTAGAACAACCGGGGCTGCCCATGGTGATGTCGAGGGCCGTATTACCTCCTTTTCTATCATGTCATCTATGAGCTTTTGCAATTCAGTCTGCCAATGTAATGGTATGCGTCTTGGGGGGATTTTAATCGGGATTGCCTCACCGGTGTCGATACGGTGTTTCACGAGATTGGTTCGACCCAAGTCGGTACTGCGCCATGCAAATGCGTCTGAGTGGTTGCGCAACACGTCTTTGAGCCGGTTCAGTGTCTGCTCATCCGTGACTCTGTCGAGTGAGCGAATAAAGGCGTTAATGTACTTCTCACTCTCTAAGGTGTCCTCATAGGTTGTAGATGCTTCCAAAGCACCACTTCCACAGGGTTTTAACCAAACTGTACAGTTATCGGTGATTAGTTGGCGCCTGTCCAGATCCAATCGACACTTCAACCGGCGTAACAGATCCATCCCAACAATAACAGCAAACGGAATTTTGTCCGCAACAATAAACTCCTGGGTGAAGCTCTGTTTCACGACGTCAACTTGTGCGGTTAGGGATCCTCGAACGGACAACAATTCTCCATTGGCGGCAGTTAGTCGGCAGTGATAAGGCGCGTATACACCTTCTGCTAGCTCGTTAGTCAAACTAGATCTGATTAGGCTCTTACATGCACCTGTGTCGATGAGACCTATCAATGGAAACCCTGCGATCTGTAATTCTATAGCTAATTCTGAATCTGTGGTCGACGCACAAACAATGGCTGGTATAAAGTGTGAATGCGATCGGTGCCACTCACCTGGGCGTCCGTTATTGTAGCGAGGTAGACCACGATTCGGAATTGGTCGGCGGGGCCACCGAGAACCATGTTGCGTTGGTCGCCATGAGCCTGAATATCTTTGCTGATAGTCAGGATGCCACGTTAACCGTTCAGTTGGCGCACGTCTGGGGCTTCCATTTCCCCTCAAAGCGAAACACCCGGAAGTCGGCGTGGTCATCGCTCTGTCGACCTGCTCAAGTTGTTCGCCAATTCGTACGGCTGAATCCAACTCCTGCGGGGGGTGAAGAAGAAATTCACGTTTAATGGATGGTGTTTGGCTTCCTTCTAGGAGTTGTTCTAGTATACGTTTATCAGGGTCGCTTGATGACTCGCTCTCGTATGCGGCGTCGGCCATCTTTCGGAGTTCGCGCACGTAAGTCCTAATGCTCTCTCCGGGCCACTGGTGCCGTGAGTGGAACTCCCTGCGTAGGGGAGCAGGCAATGCAGGAGGGTCCAGTAGGCGGCGCAGGGCAGTGAACGTCTCAGACGTGACTTCTGTTTCCAGAATTTTACTATCAGCAACGGCATCAAAAGCATCCCCTGACAGTAAGCCGGCGAGCACGCCTGAATGTTGGTGGACTGGGAACTGCCGGAGGTAAAGCTGGACTTGTTTCTCCCATCTGGAGTACGGCATCCCGGGAGTGTAACGCTCCGGAGGTGGGATTGCATGCATACAGACTGGCGAACTCGAGAGTGTTGACAACTTTTCCAAAGCACGGGACAAAACATCCAGTGAAGCGGAAAGTCTGGTAGTGGGGTCAACGACATCAGAATGGCCTTCGTCATTAGACTTGTTGTTCATTCTTGGCATGATCTTCATCAGACTAATGATGATGGATTCCTGATTCTTGTGACTTGGCAGGGTCGCCACTTTGTAACACGCAAGCACGGAAGAACTCCAAGGGCTGAGAACGAAGTTCTATTACACAACACGTAGCCTCTACAAAAGGTAATAAACATGAGGTAAATTGAAACAAGGGAAGTTACAGTTAACCAATGTCGTGTTCTTGTTCTCCTCCGGTAATGGAGCAGGAAAGGCGCTCTGAAAGGCAAACGGGAGAGAGTGCCGTTATAGCAACGATTCAACTTTGAACGCGCGCCAAAACAATATCGATTCTTCTCTACAAAACAACAGTTCCGTCAAGGTCATCTGACCACCTTTTTAACCTTAAAGGTTGTGTCGATTGTAAATAATTTGCCTGCGTTTAAGTTTCATGTTTACCTATTTCGCTGCAGTTGTGGTACAGCTTCTTTTTAATTAAGTATATATACGGACGCCTGGTTTCGAGCTGGGCTTCCGTGTTTTTACCTTGTTTGCCGCT